CAAGGATGACTTCACGGATTGGCAAAGGATGATGAAGAACGTACTGATACAGCAAGATTTGGATGATGCACTCAACGGTGAGAAGCCGACAAGCATGACAGACGCAGCATGGACTAAGGTTCTCAAGAAGGCCAAGAGTTCCATCGAGATCCATCTCACAAGATCAGTTCGGTCACACATCACTGAAAAGATGACTGCCCATGAAGCATGGACAAAGTTGGAGAATGTTTATATGGGCAAAACCGTGTCCAATAAACTTTTTCTAAAGGATGAACTATTCGGACTTCGACTGGAAGAAGGAGGTGATATTGAAAATCACGTATGCAGGTTCCAGAATTGCATAACTAATCTTCAAAAGGTCGAAGAAACTTACAAAGATGATGATATGGCTATCATCTTGCTGAGGTCTCTACCTTCGTCTTTCAAGCACTTTCGAACAACTCTAATGTTTGGAAAAGAATCCCTCAAGCTTGAAGATGTAATTCAAGCTCTTCAGTCATATGCTAAACTAGATGATATAACTGAAAGCTCTCAAGGTCTTTATGCCAAAGGCACGGAGAGGGGGCGGGAAAAGACCAAGGATGAGAAAACAGGCAACAGAGGTAGGTCAAAATCCAAGAAGAAAAAGGAAAAGAAGGAAGGTTGCTCGTATGTGGTTCAGCCGATCATTGGAAGAGGAACTGCAAGATTTGGAAAGAGAAGAAAGCTAAGATGGAAGGAAGCTCAGGTTCAGCTAGTGCAAGATTTGGAAGAAAGCCAAGAGGAACTGCAAGATTTGGAAGAAAGCCATAAAAAAAATATAATAAAAAAAATCTACTATTTTTCCTCTCACAAAGGACATATAGTATTCTACAGTTTCTAAATAAAATTATCCAAAGTTGGAGAAACAAAAATCAGTTAAAGATTAACTTCACTATCAGTTAAAGATTAACATAATAAGAATAATTATTTCTAATTCTCTTTCTTTTATTTTTTATTTTTTATTTTTATTTTTTCAAATTTTTTGGTTTGCAGAGTCTAATTCTACATCTAATTCTACTGATGGGATTACAATTTCACCCGACAAGAAGACCAATTTATTCATCACACCAGATTTGAAATCAGTGAACATAAGATGCCCACTGTTCTCGGGGATCATATAAATCTTTTACACCCAGAATCTCTTCAGAGTCTTCATAACTCGAAGAAATGGTCCTACTTAGCTACTGGAACTCTAACTGTGTTCTTCAATAAGATTGTTTGATATCTACAAATAAATATTAAAAAATTAAAAATTTATGAAATCAATTCATACTTGGTAATAGAATCTTATGCTACAATACGATCTCAAATGGAGTTAGTCATACAAACAACAACAAAGTGTTAGTTATTTCCGCATCAGCACCTATCGTTCCATTCTCCATGTCGCTCACTTTTTACACCATGTCACTGTCTCTGAGTGGCGAGTCCTTAATTTATGTCCTTATGGGAATTTCATGATGCAATTGTCAACTTTTTCTTAGAAAAGTCATAGGCCTAAATAAACCACTACAAGGCAACAATGGTGCCGTTTTTCCATTTTGGAGCCTGCCCTTCAATCCATAGAGTCTATTGCTACAGGCCTGCAAACTGCACCCATTTTCTGCAAATGCATATGTTTTCTCCATAAGGAACATGCATTTGCTGGGCACGGGTTGAAAAATCAAACAGCAAGCTCTTCTTCTCTTTCTTTAGTTTTCTCCACAACATTGAGGGAGACCATCTTCTCACACCCAATTTTCACACAGGTGTAGGTGTTGTTGCACCAAATGTTGAGGTCCATAATTTGGAGGGAAAGAGGAGCTCAAAGTTGGTCTTTAATTTTCAAAACAGTAAGTTATAATAGAGAGGAGGTGCATGCTGATTGCTGCTGGACTATTTATAGTGCAGTGGAAAACTTTCTGAGGCCTCCCTATACTTGACTATGTTTTTGTGTTTGCAAAACTTCAGCATCGTTATTAGCCCCGGAGAAATGAAAAATATATTAATAAAATTGAGCATCATTACTTGGCCTTTTCAACTAGAAACCAGTAGAAATTCTTCAACCAGTGAACAAGAACTTAATGCCTGCGGATGGGGACCTTAAATCAGAGTCCTATACTGTGCACAAGTCAGAAATAGTTGAAGAATCTAAGGGTGTGGCAACAGAAACTGTGTAAGCACAAAAGAGGCAAAGCTTGAAATTTTACCTGTTACTTGGGGGCTTTTCCAGCTTCACGAAAACTCAGAGGATTCTTCAGCTATTAGCTCCCAAAATTTGAAAAAAAAAAAAAAAAAAGGAATGGTCGGCATAGAGAGGTGGAAGAAGAAGAAGAAGAGAGAGTGAGAAGACGCGGAGAGAGTGTGAAGGTATCTTGGTAAATTTGGGCAGTGGCAATCTTCTTAAATTTCTTCACTTTTAATCCCAAATACGCGTATCAGGCCCATATTTAAAAAGTGGACCGGTTTGTCCACTATGGTAGCATGTGGACTGTTTTGTTCTTTTCGGCTTGTATTTGCCCTAAAAATGTCAAGCCCCCGTTTGTTTATTAGAGGGTAAACAATCATAAAACAACCAAGATTGAATTTTATTTGTCATAAAGGACCAGTAGTAATCTTTTTTTTTATTATGTAAAAGAATAGGATTACAAAAGCATATAATATTGGTGTTCACTATTTCTCTCATTTCTCTTTCTCTTTCTCTTTCTCTCTATCTTTTCTTGTCATGCCCCAACCCACGGATTTACGTAACATTTGATTAAGACGTAATTCACACCTTAATTATAAAATTTAATAAAAACTATAACTAAAATGTGAAGAAACATTTAAATAAATAAAATAAATATTTCACATAGAATATTTAGCGGAAACGACAACATCTGCAATCTTAAAATTTTTACATTATTTTACAAGTTAGAACTACTCAAGAGTTCACTAAAATAGTAGCTCATTATTCATCCACAAGCTATGTACACAATACACTCTATAGATATGCCAAAATCATCACAAGCTCTAGATTTCAGGTTCAGTACCTGCAAAATATGTTAGG